CACCCTCTGGCATGAAGTTTTCCCTCTCTTCTCTCTCTCTGTCCCTTTCTGGCTATGCCCAGCTCTGCCCCTCCGGGACTGCTGCTGTGGCTGCTCCTTAGGTATGTATATGGCCCCCAATACCGTCGCACTTGATTCTTACCCAAGCATTTAAAAATAGCTGTAACAATAACACACAGGCTCTGGCTCTCCCCTCCCCACCCGCAGCAGAAATAGCACGGTGAGTTTATTGACTGCGTCCAGGCTCATGACCAGAAAGGGCTCAAAGCTTCCCTTTTCCCTTTTGTCCTTTAATGAAGTGATGGAAGTGGGGAAGAAGTTGCACAAATGACTCTCGCAATGTCCCCTCGCCCCAGAGCCACCTGGGCTGCCTGGAAATGGGTGACACATTGGCAGACACATCGTTCGGAGATGAGGGATTCGCACCTCCAGAGCAAGCAGTTCCCACTCTGCCCTGGCATGGGTGCAGGCAGGAGGTAGCAGTTCGGGTAGGCTCGGCTGTGAGATGCTGCAGATTTGTGGCTCCCGCTGGCACCAGGGACCTGCAGAGTCCCTGACGCTTTTGCACCTTTTCCATGTGTTCAGGCTGTGGCTGGGATTTGCCTCCTCTCCCATCGTCCCCTGAAGAGCAGGATATGGCTTTGCTAAGATGCTCAGGGCTGTCACTGCTCCGTCTGCTCCTTCCCTTTGTCTCCAGGTGCTTTGCAGTGGCCTGTTGAGTTATTTGAATGTCTGTTTCTGAATGTCCTTTGCACCGTGCTGCATCCTTTTCCATGGAAAGGTTTGCCTTTGGCTAGTGTGATGATGAGAGGGGGTGAGAGCAGCCAGGACAGGTGGATGGGCAGAGGTTGAGGATTTGAGGTGCTGTTTCTGGCAACCTCCTTGAGCCTGGGGCTTTGTCAGAGATGTTCGATGTCCTTCCCTTGTGAGGGAGGGTGGGGAGGTTGGCAGGGACGAGGAGGACATAGGAGAGCAGGAGACCCGAGAAGCCGGGCTGGGCACGAGGGCGAGACGTGCGGCGCCGGGGGCTGTGCTCCCTCCTGCTGCCCCCGGCAGCATGCGTCCTCGTCTCCCCGAGCTTCTTCGGAGTTTCTTTTGCCTTTGGAGGGTTTGGTTTAAAGACGTTGGTGCAGAGGAGCAGGCATGACACCTTTGTGAACACAGGCTGGGGCTCGGTGGAGCAGTCCGTACCCTCCTTGACATGGCAAGGCATCAGCCAGGTAAAAGCCTTCCTGCTCATCCATGGCTCCTCCGTGAGCAACTGGGCAAATATGTGTCATGCTTCACATAAGCTCATTAAAGGTGCCAAAAAGCACAGGTCTGGCAGAGAGCAATTGCATAAACAAGGCTGCTGTTTACTCTGTGATTTAGGCCTTGTCCTGTGCGAGCAATGCTCTATCATTCCCTTTGGAAAGCTCTGTGAGCAGAACAGTTATTTAATGCCTGTTAAACTGAGCTGCTACACAAGTCCCGTTCGACTTGTTAATGACTTCAGTGACTGCAATTCATTCTGAAGAAGTAAATGATGAGAGTAGAATACCAACATCACCTTTCAGTAGATGTAATTACCGGGTCAGGAGAGCTGCTTTGCTTTCATAATTCACTGCCTGGGAAAAGAACACGGACGTGACCAGCTGTGTCCACCTGGGGCTTGGCGATCATTGAAGCTTGACCCACACTCATCCCAGAGGGTGCTGAGCACCTGCAAGGAGAGTGGGGCTGGCGGCACAGCTGGCAAAAAGCAGCACAGGGTGTGTGCAAGGGCCAGGCTTGCATGAGAGCAACCTGGAGATCATGTTAAATCCCCTGGCCGCTGCGGTGCGTTGGTCACCTGCTCTGTCACACATCCCCTCACCGTGCCAGATGGGAATTTTACTGCCTCTGGGCCTCCACAGACACGACCATGCTGCAGCAAAATCAGCCACCTCCTACCCTCTCTGTTTTTCCTTGGTGGCACATTTCTAGCCTGGGGCTTGAAAACCAGACACTGCTGTGTCCGCAGCAGATGGGCAGGAGCGCAGGCAGGACCCCAGGGGCGCATGCCCCAGGCATGTGCACCTCTCCAGGAGGAGCAGGGAGAGCCCTGCCAGATGAAGGCAACGCTTGCCTGGGACCCGTCTCTGGAGCTGGTGTTTCAGTTCAGCTGTCAGAGCGGGACCTTGGAAGCATTGCAGGGAGGGTTTATTTGGGGACAGCTCAACAGATGCTGGATGAAACACAGAGAGGAGCAACATCCCTGGGCACATAGAGACTTTTCTCCTCCTCGGTGCTGGCTGAGTGCTGTCGAGCCACACGGGTCAGAAACAGCCCACAGCACCTGGGCCGGGGCATGGGCACGCAGCTGCCCAGAGCCGCCTGAGCTCCTGATTTGCTTGGCCACCTCGTGGGGTGTCTCAGATCTGCTTTTGCACCCATGGACCTTGCCCTGGCAATGCACCTCTTGCATTCCCAGTTCTCGCTAGCTAGTGGCTTAACCTAGCACAAGTCACCATGAGGCTGGAACAAGAGCAGGAGCAGTTCTATGTAACTAGAGGACACAAGCAGAAAGAGCTACTAAGTACCTTGGGGGCATATGGACGGGTCTCCCTGAGTCTAGGGCAAGCCAGCACTAACAGAGGAGCCAGCACAGGAGCAGCTCCTGGCCCCAGAAGGGTTGCTCTGCAGCTCTGTCCCCGGGCAGTTTCCTGCATCCCCCTGAGAGCTGGGCAGGCTGCGAGCCCCAGCTGTACCGCAGCACACCGAGCCCAAGGCACAATGGAGATGGAGCACGAGGAAAGCCGTGAGATGGGGCAAGACTGGACGTGCAGAGGCACCGTTGCCTCCTGTCAGCGGCAGAAACACAACGATGGAAAACCAATGAGTAAAGAAGAGATGAGTACATTGTAAGGGGAGACAACGGGAGGGGAGGGTTTTCAGTAGAGAATATGCAGGAGCACTACTGGATCCATCAGGAATCATTACAAACTTTATTTGTCTGTGCATTGTGTACCATTGATAAGGATCATCACAATTAGTGGACTCACTGCCTATAGTGGTGGGCAATACACACAAAGAAAAATCAATGAAGCCAAACAGATGAAAATGAAATAATTGTACATAAAGGTAATCATAAACCTGAACAACCTTCACCTCTGTTTGATTCTTCTCCCAAAACAAAGAGAAACAAAAAGAAAACTCCCAAAACCCATCACAAATGAAAAAAAAGGCTGGAGAAGAACAAAAACCCCACAACTTCATACTCCTGGAGAAAATCTTACAACAGGTTACTTAAAATTTCCACAGATTGTTCAAAATGAGTACAAACTCCCCCAGCCAACTGGTTACAGTACAAGCATCAGACGGGTTTTCAGCTGGCTGGGAAGAGCTCACCAGTGGATGTGCCGTCTGGGCGTTTGCCTGGCTGGGATGCTGCGAAGCCCGGTGAAGGGCGTAGGGTACGGAGACATCTCTCAACACCAGTGCACAATGCCATCCCTGTGCTGTGCCCAGGGGAGCTCTGCATCCACACCTCCCCGGGCTTGGCTTGCTGCCCCAGCCCACACTGCTGGAGTCGGGGGGTGATGCTGGGTTAAACCTCTCTGTCTCATCCTTCCCATCGAGTTCAGATTTGGACAGTGCAAAATGTGGCCTTTTTCCTTGGGGGACACTTCCAGGTTACGCTCAGTGGCGTGGGAGATCTTGTTCTGGCCCTTCAGCCCTTACGCTGAATTATTCTGCCTGCAAATGGCTGTGGGAAAGGACCAGCTTTGGGGGCTGATCCTGATGGCTTAACGCTCAGAAACAGGGGCTGTCACTAGATCTCTGGGGACACGGAATAGCAGCGGGATGAGTGGTTTTCAGGCAGCCACCGGCTACAAAGGCAGAGGCAGGTGAGACTCCGGGAGCCAGCTGTGCTCGTCCTCCCTGGGCTCGGACGCTGCTCATCCCGCTTGGGCTCCCTGGGACCTCTCGTAAAACCTCCTGTGGACGGGGAAGGCTTTTGCACCGGCTTCAGCATGTCCTGGACTGGCCACTGTGGGGGGGACCCCCGCCACGCGGGGGCACGGGGCCTCTGGGGTATGGATTTTCCTCCCCTGAAAACCTACGACTGAGTGTCTGTTATTGCTTCTCGTGGACCCATGCGCGGAGCAATAAATGGGGACAGCTTTCCCTCCTTTTACCCCCACTAAGAGGAAACAAACAAACAAACAAAAAACTATGGCAAAACTAAACTAACTAAAATAAATAAAACCCTGTGAAAAGAAAACACTTGTATTTGCAATGCTCAACCCACATGGCTGGAGGGACTATCGCTATAGGATGCTATATACAGACAGGGTTCATTTCATTCATGCAAATGTTACAAGTACCACGACAGCATGCCCAAGGAGGTGGATGAGGTGGGAGGAAAGCCCCCGCCACTCCACACAGCCTTGGCTTAGGACACCGGACACGAGGTTGCGGCTGTGCATCCCCGAAGCGCAGAGGCAGAAAGGCAAGGGGCACGTGGAAGGGGGTGGGTGGGGAAATGCTAGTTGTACACACGCCAAACCAAACCAAACCAAAAAAAACCAACCCCAAATCAATGACGAAAACGGTTTGTGTTCTATCTTTAGAAAGCTCCCAATTTCCCCTTGTCTCCAGTCCGGTCTCTTGCTTCTCTCCAACAGGGCCAGAGGGGATGTTCGCGAGTGGCGAAGGCAGGCGGATGGTGGTCGGAGATCAGGGCCCTCGCTTTCCTCTCCTTCCCTCGCCCACTGGTCTGTTTCTCACCAGCTACTCTGGCCTTCCCCGTACCGACGTGCCCCGGTCGCCTTTGCATCCATCCTCCCGGGGGCCGGCGGTCGGGAGAGAGCGATGGGAAAGGGCTTGGTGGCTATCAGCCGTTCTTGTTGGTAGAGTTGCAGAGAGGGCCCTGCTGCCGGACTCCTGGCCGGGGCCGCTGCCCGGGGAGGGGTCCTACTGGCTTTGGGGTCCTGCCTGGTTCAAAGGATGCTCCAAAGCCGCTTTCTGTCAGCAGGTGTGTGAACATGGCATATCTCTTTTATTCTTTCTCTGTTCATTATACACAGCATTATATCTATATCTATACCTATATATCACTCTATATAGATACATATAGATATATATATATTTACTTTCTCTGATTGTCCCTTTAGAAGCCCTTTATGTGGCAGTAGGCTTCCAGAGATGAGAAGAATATGTACAAGAGCCAGAGGAGGATAAAGAGTGAGGATGTGAGCAGCTTGGAAGTCCGCGGCCCGCCCAGCTCACCTCCAATCTCGGGTCTCCGCCGGTAGAGCAGCACACCCACACTGATAAAAGCAAAAATGGTGAAGAGGGTGACAGAGAAGGCCAGGGTGCCAGGCGAGACTTGGAAGGCTTGTCCGTGCGCCGCGTGGTAGATGGCTGCAATGGACCAGGCCACCCCGATGCCCAGGAAAACGTTCACGGCATTGCTCCCGGTGACGTTCCCAATAGAGGCATCTGCGTACTGGTCCTGCGTCGCTGCTACTTTGCTGGCAAATGTATCTGCAAAGGGAAGGCAGAGAGAAACCCTTAGGAAACAGCCAGCTAAGGAGGGACAACAGCAGGCAGGCTGGGGACAAATGTCAACAGCACCACTTGGTGAATGGAGATAGTGGGTAAGGGGACAGGGTACAGTCCTGTCCATGGGCAGTCCCAAGGAAGGGCACATCTGGCCAGAGCCAGAGTGACAGCCAGGGTGTAGAAATGCCCAGGAGGGAAACCTCATTCTCTAGAAATATAAGGCTTTTGCCAGTAAGGCCCCAGATGCCCCACAATGCTTCAAGCAACAGACAACACTTCCTGGTATTACACTGTGTTGGCCCCTTCTCCCACATCCACTGATTTGTTGGCTTGCAAAAGAAATGAAAAGCTTGGAAAAGCCTTGTGGGAGCCACAACGGTTTGTATCTGTCCTTCAGGGCCCCTGAAGTTTTGTGTTTGTGTGTTTGCTTTAATGTCGTCTCTCCAAAACCTTTTGCCTCACTAAGTCCAGTGTCTTGTGCAGACCCTGACACTTTGGTAAACAAGTTACCATCTTTCACCCCTTAGGGAGAAAAACGCTCACCCAGGTGCTCCACCAGCTTTAATACCAGTGGCAAAAGAGCAGTGATAAAACTTGGCTGGCCTTTTACATGGCAGATCTTCTGTCAAGTAGACCAGCACGACACTGCTCTGCACCATAGGGAAGTGCTGATTTTACATCCAAACCCACTCTGGATCTGCAAGGGGGGTGAGCAGGAGAGGGATTAGCATATGGGTTTTGTCCAGGTGAGCACTCTCATCTAATGATGAGAAGACGAATCCTTAACACATCTGCACTCCCAGATCACCTTGGGTACAGGCAGCAGAGTGTGGCTCAGAAATAGAAAACGGTGAGGTCAGGTTTCATGGTTTTTAATTCTACAGAATTTCCTTTACAATTCTTCCCAGTGGGGCTCCAAGCTCAGACGGCAAAGCCTGGCACGAAGATCCAGTTTCATGTAACGGCGGGGGCTGGGCACCTATAAGCACAGCGAGAGGGCCCATTTGGAGCAAAGAAATCAAAAGGCTGGTTTATGTTTTAGAAAAAGCTCCCACGGAAATGCATCTGACTGCTGAGGGAAGGAAAAGGCATTTTCCCTCGTTCTCAGTCTGGTGCAGTAATGGGGTGTGGGACAGTGCTGATGCCTCTGTGGAGCAGCAGCTGCCACTGCGGGAGGAGGGATGGGGCACATCTGGGGCACACTGCCAGCGCCGGCCAGAGGGTGGAAACAACCACGCACACTTCTGCAAGCTGGGAGTGGTGCTTTTAATGCAGGGAAGGTCCCTGCCAGTCTTGTACGTTTGTCTGACGCCTGTCCGCCTCCTGGAAAGCACCTTGCACCTCCCCGGTGTGCAGGAACCCAGCTAGCACCCAGCCAACACGACACGGCTTCAGAGCATCTGCTAGTTCAAAGAAGAGTAACCAAATGCATCCCAAAAAGAACTTCTTAAATGCCACCTTTTGTCGACAAAAGCAGGAGGGAAGATTTTCGCTGTCAAGGGTGTGAGACAGCCCTACAAACCTCACGCCTAGAAGTGCCAGAGGTCTAAAAAGTGCTCCTTCTTCTGTTCCTTGCCCAAATCTGTTCTTTCTTTTGATTCTGCTGCTTCTTTTTTGGCCTTTGGTAGCATTAGGACAATTTCAAGATCTTTGAGCACCTAGGTGCTGATTACTGGAAATCTGGGGGTAGTGAGGGAAGATGTGACTGACATGGGGGGTGGTCAGGTTGGGTTAAGAGCCCCTTGTCCTGGAACCAGGCTGTGCCTGGCCAGCACAGCCCGTGGAAGAAGGTGAGTGAAAGGCACAGGTCCTCTTACACAAGCTGACATGGGACTTCTCAGACACCATCCTCTCCAGTGCACCAGTTCACCCCTAAGAGGGGACCTTTGCTGAGCCAGAAGAAAAGGAGGCTGGGCTACAGCAAGTCAATGTGCATTGGGAGGACAAAGTGGCATGTAGGTATGGAAACTCATGTTTTTTTTCTCTCCCTTGTTAGTCCTCAGTCTCTGCTGTCTTCTGAGGCTGGGTGACCACCTGGTCAGAGACACGTCTCCAAATATCTGTGGGGCCGGAGCCTTCTAGGGGCTTCACAAGTCACATTTCGAGCAGCTGCCCCAGCTCAGCAACCTCACCTCGATCCATCTGAACCAAAGCTGAAAGTGGTCTCACACAAAGGTGTCTGCACTGGACAGAGCACCTTGAGTAAGGACTAGCACCTAACTCACCTGGGAGGCAAGGTTAAAGGAGCAGATGCTCAGAAAGACAATGCAGGACTGCCAACACAGGCAGCATTTTAATCAAAGACCAATATCCTACTCTGAGAGTGCATGCCATGGAGGCTGTCCACAGAAATAGATACTTCACAGTATTTGCAGGCGAAGGTCCTTGAAATAATTGCCAGAGGACCGAATCCACGTCCTGATTCGATCCTCCTGGTGCATCTGAGACTGATAAACAAGTTCCACACACACCTCAAATCTGTCCTTGGGGGTCCTGTAGAGCACAGGTGAGGACCTTGCTGTGCCCAGCTTTCCCAGCCCAACCCCAAACCCAGACTGGGCAGAGATGGACCTTTATAACAAACCCTGCTGTTGTCCTTACCTGGCACCGACGTCCCCAGTGCGACAAACACGACCGCAGTGACTGAGTCCTTCAAGCCGATGGTGCAGCCAAAGTGGGATGCCAGGTCACCAATGAAAGCTGTCAGAAGGCCGATCATGAGGATGGAGACAACGAAGCAAGCCCAGCCATTCCAGTAGTCTGTCGGGGGCACGAAGGCAAAAAGGACCTTCCAGAAGACGGTCAGAAAGTGCATCACATAGTCAAAGCAGGAGGGCAGCTTCTCCTCCCCACATTCATCGTCATCGTCGTCTTCCCCTGGAGAAAACCATCAGTGCCTGATTAGACTCGCCCATCCTGGTGGAGGTTGGGCAAAGCTCCTGTACATACTGCAGCCCCCCACATGCTATCTCTCATGATTTGGGCCCTAGACGGCCTTGATTTCCAAGTATCTTCTTTTCTGGGCAATCATCAGAGAGGCTCAGTGGCCTTTCCTGGCACCTTCCCAGGGCACAGAGAGACCCTCCTAAGGCATCGATCTGAAAAACCAACCTGCACTTCAGAAAACGCAGAACTTCATGCCAGCAACTCTGCCTGGGTTTAACCACCAGATGCTTTCCAGGACTCTGCTCAGGAGCCCTTTCCCTAGAAGACATGGGAAATGGCTGGCCTCACGCTGGCTGGAGCCACTCAGAGTGGGTGAACCCACCAAGAGCAACACGTGCCTCACAGAAACTCCCCTAAGGCAGCTCATTTTGAGTTGCCTTTCACAAGCACCTCTGATTGCTTCCAGCTCACTGGAAAGAAGACTGATTTTGGTGGCTGCTGAGCTGCTAGCTCTGGCACTTCCTCTTTTCTACAAACCAGGATCCAGCCATGAAGAATACCCGCCCTAAGACCTCCTGGTCCATCACTGCTCTCTGTCCTTCCCTTTTGCATTTCCCTGCCCCTTCACATGCCTACCTATGAGCTCTGTCTGCCCATTCCTTTGGTCTGGTCTGATCAAGTTCAGTGGGCACTTTCCACGCATGAAAACACTTTCCCATTTGCACCCCTTCCAGGTAGCCATCAAGCACCCCAGGTCACAAGCCAGCCATGGGGCATCATTTGTCACAGGAAAAATGCACTTTTCTTCTTCTCTTTATTTTCTGTCGCTGATCCAGGTCAGTGCTTCATTTCTCACCAACCTGTTTTTAATGCCTTGAAGGGGTCATTTTCCCAGCATGAGCCTGCCAGCAGTCCTGGCCCCATCTCTGCTCACCAGAGCACATTGTGTGGGCCAGACCCTGGCTATCCTGCTGCTGTGCTGACCGCTCAGCCCCGACAGCCCACTGCTGCTCACACCTGGGTCTCCAGCACAGATGGGGAGTGGGGGATGTGAGTCCTTGTGCCCATCCTGCCTGATGTCCTGGGAGCTCTCAGACCCCAAGTGCCAGCTGCTGTGTGCCCCCAAAGGCACCAGTGTTTCACCACCCTCATTGTAAAGAATTTCTTCCTTATATCTAGCCTAAACCTACCCCTTTTTAGTTTACAACCATTACCCGTTGTCCTGTCACTGCTGTCTCTTGTAAAAAGATTGTCCCCATCTTTCCTATAGGCTCCCTTTAAGTACTGACAGGCTGCAATCAGGTCTCCCAGCAGCCTTCTCTTCTCCAGGCTGAACAAGCCCAACTCTCTCAGCCTGTCCTCATAGGAGAGGTGCTCCAGCCCTCGGATCATTTTTGTAGCCCTCCTTTGGACCCGCTCCAACAGTTCCATGTCCTTCTTGTGCTGAGGGCTCCAGAGCTGAACGCAGTACTCCAGGTGAGGTCTCACCAGAGCAGAGTAGAGGGGCAGAATCACCTCCCTCGACCTGCTGGCCACGCTTCTCTTGATGCAGCCCAGGACATGGTTGGCCCTCTGGGCTGCCAGCGCACATTGCCGGCTCATGTCCAGCCTTTCGTCTATCAGTACCCCCAGGTCCCTCTGGGCAGG